ACGAAGAGCATACCCCATCGCCACTTTGTCAGGGGTCGTAAGGACTAGTCCTGCTCCACAACCCTGTCGGTTGGACGAGCCATCAACATATAGACTCCATGTTGGGGCTGTTGGTTCTATTTTCTGAGCTTCTGAGGGTAATGAAACCACTTCTTTAGGCGTAGAAACAATGTCAACAGGATATGTGAAGTCGGCGATGAAGTCTGCCACTGCTTGGCCCTTCTCAGCTGGCCTTGGTTGGTAGGAGATGTCAAACTCACCCAATGCTATCGCCCATTGATCATTCGCCCAGAAGTGTCAGAACTTTAGAGTATCTGTCGAAAAAGATGATTGTTAAGCATGATGATGAAGTGTGCTTGGAAGTAAGGGCGAAGTTTTCGAGCAGACATGGCCAATGCTAGAGCCAATTTCTCAATGTTGGAGTATCGTGTCTCCGCATCTTGTAAGGCCTTGCTAGCGTAGTAGACAGGTCATTCGACATTACCATCATTTCGAATGAGAACAGAACTTACTGCTGAAGCCGATACCGACAGATAGATAATGAGAGTGTCACCAACCTCAGGTTTAGAGAGCAGAGGGGCTTTACTCATGTAGTCTTTGAGGTTCTTGAATGCCTCGGCACATTCATTAGTCTATGTAATGTACTTCTTACTTCCCTTAAGTGCTTTGAAGAAAATAGCACATCTGTCTGTGGCTTTAGAGATGAACCTAGTTAAGGCTGCCATCTTTCCAGTAAGGCTCTGGATGTCTTTTGAAGTTACTGGTTCCTTCATGTCGAGGATTGCTTTGATCTTCTCGGGATTAGCCTCAAAGCCTCGTTGGCTTATCATGAAGCCTAAGAATTTACCAGAGCTTACGCCGAAGGCACATTTGTTGGGGTTCAACCTCATTCGATACCTCTTCAGAATGGTGAAAGTTTCAGATAGGTTGGTGATGTGTTGGTCAGCATGTTTGCTCTTGACTAGCATATCATCAACGTAAACTTCCATACTCTTCCCAATCTGTTCGGCGAACATTAAATTAACCAGTCTCTGATAAGTCGCTCCTGCATTCTTTAGGCCGAAAGGCATAACTTTATAGCAATATAGTCCCTTGTCAGTAGTGAAGGCTGTGTGTTCTTGGTCCGAAGGGTTCATGAGGATTTGGTTGTATCCTGAGTAAGCATCCATGAAGCTCAAGAGTTCACACCCTGTCGTAGAGTCTATAAGTCTGTCTATGAGAGGAAGAGGAAAGCTATCCTTCTGGCATCATTTGTTTAAGTCGGTGTAATCGACACACATTCTCCACAAGACCTTTTGGAGCAGGAGACTTTCCTTGGTCGGATTCTTCTTAACAAGGACCACATTTACTACCCACATTGGATAATTGACTTCGCAGACGAAGCCTATGCCTTTGAGTTTTTCAACTTCTGCCTTCATTGCCTCGTACTGTTCAGCGTCATAAGGTTTTCGCTTCTGTCTCACTGGCTTGGTCTTAGGGTCAATACTTAAGCGATGACAGATGATATCGGTAGAGATGCCTAGCATGTCCTCGTATGACCAGGCGAAGACCTCAGTGGTCTCTTGCAAAAAAGAGATCAATGCTAACCGAATGAGTGGTGACAAGGTGGTGCCAATCTTCACCATGCGATCCGGATAATCTTTTAAGATATAGACCTTCTCCAACTCTTCAGCGGGTTGTGTTTGCTGGGTGAAAGAGTCATCTCGAGGATCGTCGGGTTGACTGTTGCCACCGTGAAGATCCAAGTTGGCTTCGTCTGGGCTGGTCTTTATGACTTGGTCATGTATAGAAAGGGTTTCCTTGGGCACAGGCAGGTGTTGTTGCTTGACCGAAGTGTTGTAACATGATCGTGCACTAAGTTGATCTCTTATGATGTAACCATTGCCATAGGGGATTGGAAATTTCATCAACAACATATGTGTGGATACCATGGCCTTGAGATCATTGATGCCTGTGCGTCCGAAGATGACATTGTATGCTGTTGGGCAATCAACCACCAGGAAGTTAGTGGTAATGGTAGCTGTGTAAGGGCCTGTACCAATGGTGAAATGTAAGTGTATGCTCCCCAAAGGTTGCACGATATCACCGGAGAAGCTTATCAGAGGAGAAATAGAGCGATCGAGCAAGTGTTCAGCTACATTAAGTGCCCTGAAAGCTTCAGCAAACATGATATTGACCGAAGCCCCCGTGTCTACCAGGATTCGTCGTACTTCAAAGTTGGCTATGTGAGCTTCCACGATCAGTGGGTTGTTGTGGGTAGATGATACTTTTTTCTTCCTCAGGGTAGAAATATATTGAATCCCAGTTAGGCTTTTGATACTTGCCTCCCCTGATGTCTTCCACGTGAAACACTTGGTGGCCAGACCTTAAAGCTCCTTCACTATTTTTCATGGCCATGTTGGAAGATTTAGATATGGGTGTGCCACCACTTATGGAATATATCATATTCACCTGGCGTTGGTTACGGTTACCCCTTGGAGGGTGAAGGAAGAATTGATCAATTTTTCCTTCACGTGCCAAAGCTTCAATATGATCACGAAGGGTGATACACTTCTCGCCGTCATGGCCGTTATGCTCGTGGTAGTAGCAAAACGTGCCCGTGTTCTTCGTGGGCTTGTAATCCGAATGCCTCGACTTTGGCTTCAGTATCAGGTGTGCTATACTGGGGTAAATGGCCACGCATGTGGCGTTCAAAGGTGTGTATGCCTCATACCTCGGGGTAGGGCCTGTCCTGACACGTGCTTGATCTACTGTGTTGACTGCCTGGGGTTGGGGATTATCGTGGCGATACCCTTGGATATCGCGGTAGTGTCCCTTACTCATTTTACTAAAATGAGACTGGTGAGGATGGAAATCTTTCCCTTTGCCCTGAGATTGATATGTCTGTTAACTTGGCAAAGTATTAAGTAAGGTAGGAGGAGGCACTGCTGCCGTTTGGAAGGTTGAGGTCTTCTCATTTGGGTGTGTCTGGCTTCCACTTCCCACTTGTTGATAGGGGATGGTTATTGGGGGTTTCTCTTGGTATGTCCTTGCCTCGGCAGAAACATGGTTATAAGCCTGCGCCATCACCTCAGAGTAAGTCTTCCAAGTGTTGGCATTGATCATGTACTTAAAGAAATAGTCATGTAGGCCTGCCGTGAAGGCTTTGAGGGCAGTCTTATCGTCTGCCTTGGCACAACGGGAATACTCATGGTTGAAGCGGCCAGCATACATACGTAATGACTCGTCTGGCTTCTGGTGAATAGTGTATAAGTCATCCGCAGAGTGCAAGCGATCAGTCTAGAAAATATGTTGAGAAACAAACAATTTCTTCAATTCCTCAAATGAGTCTACCGTCTCAGGTGGAAGACAGCAATACCAGTTTAGAGCTCCGCCAGAGAGGGTGGAGGGGAAGAGAAGACATATCTCTTCGTCGGTGTGCATCCGGTATGCCATGGTGGACTCAAAGAGGCTAAGGTGTTCAATCGGGTCCTCCTTTCCAGTATAGAGTTGTAAGCCAAGCTTCTGTTTTGTTTTTTCTTGGAAGGGGTGTCGAGGATCCTCCTTGTAAGAAGGCCAGGCCTAGGTTGGTTCCAATCAGGTATCTCAGCTTGTCGTTCGGCCTTCAACTTGTTTACTTCCTTAAGAAGCTGTAAGACAAGAGGGTCCTGAGTGGAGTCATGTACCACTGGAGCTTTCTTTCGTAAATCTCCATCTCTTATTGGAAGTAGGAAGGTTTGATCAAGAGCATGTGATTTTTCCTTAGACTCGCCGTACCGACTTCTAAGGTATGCCTGTCGGAACATCTTTGAGTCCCCTATACCTTCGTGTTTCTCTAGGACTTGTTGCCATTTCCTCAAATTGGTAGCAGGCCTGGTATATGGGAGGGGACCGAGTCTTTCAGATACCCTTGGGTCATTGATCTTCCAGCTTACATGGATGAGATTGTCTCGACGTTGCTTTATGAAGTCTCGATAGTCGCGAAAAACAGCTTTCGATCATTTCACTCCTTCTGTAAGGAGGTGTCTTTCTCCACTCCTCCTGCTTCGGGTCGAAGTAGGTGGGTTGAGAGAAGTCTCATGTTGGTCGCCATTTCGATGAGTAGCTCGCTCCTCAACAGGAATACCCGTGTCGAGGGCAAATGACCCTCCGTGTTGGGGGGCATCCAGTTGATGGTTGACTTCCACAGGGGTGATGAGCTCGTGTGTTTTAGTATATCTAGCCTCGTGGAGCATCTCGAAGACTTTCTCATACTGCTCTTGGAGAATCTCATTCTTCATCGCTATCTTGTTGTTCTGAGCCTCCAGCTCATCGACTTTAGCCTGAAGAGCAAACTTCTTTTGTTCCTTCTTTTGTTGCTTCGCACTAGGTGCAAGGGGGGTGTCGTTCTGCATGTTGTGGCTTCCTTCGCTCCCCATGTTGGAGAGGGATGCCTGGTAAAAGAGAGTGTACGAATGGTGGAAACCAGCTTAACAAAGCTGAAGAGAGTGGGAATAAGTGTCGTTCCCACAGACGGCGCCAAATGTTGATGCACAAAATCAGTGAGGACTTTGGTACAACAAAAAGTGTTAAGTTTGTGACCTTCGCTAGATTGCTCCGGTCACTAGTGTGGATAAGTATGCAAATGGATAGAGACAGGGAAGCAAACACAAGATGTACGTGGTTCACCCAGATTAGCTACGCCCATGGAGTAGAGGAGTTCTCATTAATTGTGAAGGGTTTACACAAGTACATAGGTTCAAGCTCTCCTTTAGTGAGTACTAGTGAATGATTTAGTACAAATGACATTTGGAAATATTGTGGGAGAATGATCTCCTTTTATAGAAGAGAGTTTCTAGCTTTGTTCTGACATTGACACGTGTCGTGTTGTGATTGGCTTCCGATGTTGACACGTGTCGCGCTAGGATTGGCTTCTGATGTCGACACGTGCTGTGATTGGCCTCCTGGTTGGAGGGAAACTCTTTTGGGTCCTTGACGGTATAACGTTGACCGGTGCTCGGTAGTTTCAGGATTGGTCAAGTATGGTACAAACAGCTCTCAAGGCCGTTCATATCTCTGATGTTCCAAACCTCGATCAAGTAACAGAAAATGATGCCGCATTGGCTGTACATTCTCTGTGGTTGTCTCAAGGTCTCGGCATTTGCCATCAAATTAATTACTTGGAATTCAAGAAACGAAAAAGCAAGAAGAATTTGACTTATGGAATTGGGGGTTTTTTTTTTTTTTGTGGGTGTGTGTGAATAGGTGTGAAAGATGAGGGTGAAGAAACGAAATGGGGACACAAATGGCTAAAGTTCGTGGTGATGGGACACAGAGGCAGCAGGGTGAACTTGTTGTGTGGTTGTGGATTAAGAGTAAGAGAGGTGATACTTGAATTCAAATTTGCCAATGTACACAATTCAAATACATAAATATAGATACAATAGTTATTATAAAACTTAGACCTGTACGTAATTTCCTTTGAACTTTTATGGTAGACGAATCTAGTTATGGTGGAATGTGAAAATTCTACCCACACATGAATCTAGATATATGTAAAAAAAACATACCCCAAATTTGGACAGAACTTAATTAACACAAAACTTTATTAATGACAGTAAATCATATTAGAGTCAAACTGCATTATAATTAAAGTGTGAAATCGTAAATACTAGTTTAGTACATGAAATTTTAAGAGAATGTACATGTTAAAGACTTGAAGCTTATTTTTGTCTTCCACTCGAGAATCATTCTTGACGGGTCTTGAGCAGTAAATTTCATGCATGATACACAAATTAAGGTCCACGGGTGTTGAGAAATGCTTCGATGTTTTAATCATCTTCAAGATCCACAATATCATTAGTGGCTACATGTCCCATTTGTCCACATGTAAAGTATCCTCTGCTTTCTCGTCTACACTCTCCAAAGTGTATGCTATTGCACTTACGGCACAAAGGTACATTTCCTCTTCCAAAGTCACCTCGCCTCTGTAATCTAGGATCTCCAGTAAATCTACCACCTCGCATCTGACCAATGGTACTAAAACCTCTGCTGGCAGAACTAGAATTAACTCCACTTCTATTGAAGCTCTAAGTCTTGTGAGGTTCTTGAGACACATGACCTTTACCTTGGTCATCTTTCCTTTGATTCTCATTCTTTTCCTTGTCTCAAATTGTAAACTCTTGTTTCTTACCATCCATATATGTCGGAGGAATAAACCTTTTCTTAAACAACTCTTTAAACAATTCTCATTCAGCTGTTTCCTCCGGTGACATCGTATAAGACTCCTATCTCCACCAGGATGCAATTTCAATACTCAGAACTAGGTAGTCATCTCGACCTACCTTTCAAAAGAAAGATTTCCTTAACTTGCAGAATCTGAAACGCCTTTTCCAAATGATTAAGCCATCGATCTGCTCCTTCCGGTCTTTCATTTCTATAAAGTGATTCAGATTCAACTTATAACCATTCTCAAAATGAGTCATTTGGGAAGGACGGATAACAGACTGAATCACATTAGTAGTAGTTTCCCATAACTAAGTTAAATCGGGGAAACTAAGCTCATCTGAACAAAGTGGCTATCTACGAGGCGGTAAAGTTCTGACAGAAGACACTACGGAATTCTCAAGATGTCCAGGACTGCAACCTAGGCTCTGATACCAACTGACACACCCCATCCCGAAGGAGGACATGTTGGCCGTCACGTGAGAGTGACGTAACCATTTACACAGTTCGGAAGCTTTAAAGATACAATTACTAAGTTGTAACACCTGAGGGTGAGTCCTACTTTTGTGAATTCTGTCAGAACACCGTTGGATTCCTCGTGGCCACCAAAGCTCTGCTATCTTGAACCTGGAGGGGCGCAAAACAAAGTTGAGTGGGTCAGTAAAACAAAGTTTTTCGAAAATCATCTCATTATCAAAACGCTAACCCCTCGCTGTAAAACCCGTATACTTTCCTAGAAATATGTAATACGTATACTTATCTCAAAACCATACTCAGAAGTAGTGATATGTGAATTATATGCCATACCAAAATATATATCTCATCAAATCATATAAGTAAATCATGCAAAATAATATGTCAACCGGATCCACTTATAGTGGCCTGACGGCTGAATCTATAGCTCATAATCAATCTCATCAATCTTATCTAGCCGGAGTCATCGCAAGTGACCTTTACGGCACTACACTGCACACGAGTCGGAACCCCTGAAAAGGTCTGTACGACTGGGTGAATATAGTTATGCTCACACTATCCTCCCCTGATAGCTATGCGATAAATCGCTAGTCACCTACGAATCGGAACCACCTCTAGTAGTCTATACGACAAGACTGGGCACCTAAATTGGATCCAATTGTGAGCATATGGTGCGGGGGTGACTATATATATATACAGGCCTGAATCATCTCTACTAAATCATAATCACCCTAGTGCAGGTTTATGAGCTTTCAATCATATCAACTCAACAATTACATAATTTAATTTATGAACTTACCTGACACTTACCTGTGCGTCCACAACACCAATCATGCATGTATGCAATTACTAATGCATAAATAATTAGGCATATATTTTGCATGGCATTTCATATTGCATTTCGTATCACATTTCACTTAAATTGATTTCCTGAGAAAAAAATCTCATTTATATAGGTATATATGGAAAACAAAACTGCCCACTCACCTGGAGTTCGCCCTACAACTCCCTAGCACAACCCATCAAGGCTTCATGACGATCGGTGCCTAGAACAATCGTCAAATCAAACCTCATAATCATATCGATAGAAAATATAACTTATATAAAACACGTCACTACGTAGTTCGATCCGGAAGATCTGCAACTCAGATTTCCAATCCATAACTTCCAAAGGTCCACAATATACCTCTAGAACAACATCCTAAAATTTCCTTACCATCCAACGGTCAGATCTTCGTCAATTGTCAAAACCAAGTGACGGTTAACATTCTATTTTATGAACTTACAACTCCAATTCCGGAAGATCCGTAAATCGGATTCCCAATCCGTAAGTTCCTATAATTCTCGAATATTACGTACTACTACGTATCAAAGTTGGTGACGATCCGACGGTTGGATCGTCGATTCACCTTTTTGGCCTAATCATGAATCGTAACGAACTTAGGTTCAATTACTCAATTTACGTTAATCAATTATCAAAACTGAACCTAGAACATTAAACACATGCTAAGAATGATATTGGTGGGCCACTGGCCACGCGCCGCCGCATGGGCCGCCGTGGGTGGCGATCGGCTGCCCCGGCTCGGCGGAAAATCCAACTATCTCCAAAAATTACCAAAATTTACAGAAATGAAGATCTCAATGAGTAGAGTAAACTTTATACCTGAGGCCAAGGCTAATTTGGCCTGGAAAGGCTCCAATTTCATCAAACCCGTGAAGAACCCTAGAAATGGGTGTTTTCAATTCGACCTCCAAACCACTCCGATGCTCCAATTAATGCTTGGTCTTTGTTCCAGGTCCTAAGGGGATGATAATGGTTTTAGTAATTGAAAGAAAATGTTTCAAGATTTGAAGAATTTGTACACTAAGCCACCGCACACACTGTACGGTTTCATCCAATTTCAAGGCCAAATTCTTTGATTTTTGGGGTGTAATAGGAAGAGGGAAGATCGTAGAGGGTTTTCCAAGTGATGGTTTGAAGTAACTCACCGGAAAAATGAAGAAATTTCGACGAAAAGGGGTGGAAAACCCACCGGGTCGCGCGGGTCATGGGTTGAAAACCCATTTCTGTTCTTCTTCCTCCGCTTCTCGCCCTCTCCTTTCCTCCTTTGCCCTTCTCTGATTGGCCAGAAAATTTTCTCTCTTCTCCCCATTAGCCCAGCTCTCTCCCTTTCTCTCCCGGAGCTCCTGCTCTCGTCCTCTGGTTGGGCAGTTTGCCCAATCTTTTCTTCTTCTTCACCAGTCACGCACACACACATACACACACAAAACCTTCCTTTTTATTTTTTTATTTTCTTTCCCTTACATCCGAGCCATCCATTTCAGATTTCCTTTAATCTGGGCCATCCAAATGACATACCAAATTTTTATAATAAAATTCATAAAATGCCCAAACTTCAAACTTTAAAATCTTTTTCGTTATAACTCCAAATCACGAACCGTCTGCACCCACGCTTCCGTAGCGACGAGTACTACGAGGATATGTTAAGAAAACAAATCTTAGATGGCACGACACAACGATTAACCTCGAATAATGCGCGTGCCTCAAAGGGCATTTTTTTTGTAAAATCCTTTATTAAAACTTTAAAAACTCTTAAAATCAGGGACGGGCTGTCACAGCAACCGTCAAACGTTGTCGGAAAGAATTTATGGGAAATTGATCCAAATGCAGAAATTATAAACCGTCTATAAAACATGCCAAATTCTCTGTGTCGTATTCATAAATATGGGACATTCAAAGCAAAAAGAAAAAAATTGACATATTCAGTAACGAGATTAACAAATATACAGAATCTTAAATATTTTTACCTGATACGATTTTTGACATTAAACGGTGAATTAGTAAATAAATTTACTGAATATATCAAACTAAATGTTTTAATTTTTTTATACTGAGTACAAAATGGAAAATAAAAAGAACAGTGTAGATTCATGACCATCAAATATCAAGGTCATATGCCCAAAACATTTTACATTTTTCCGGGAATACAAAAACAAATTACATTGGGATGATAAATTTCATTATAACAGAGATAAATTAGTAAGGGTAATGCTAGGAAAGTTAAATTTATGAACTAAATAATATGTCATCAATATGAATGAGCACGTTTATCAACACTTAAGTAATAATTCAATTATCAATTTACATATCATTTAGTTTACAAAATTTTGCCTATAAATTTAATCTTTCTAGCATTACCCAATTTGCTACTTTACAAAAATATAACTCTAAAATCTAAATTTTTAAATGTCGTTAAACATAAGCATATGGACCTGGCTTCTCTGACCTTCCAGTTCTCATACACTCCTATCCCTTCCTATTTTATGTGGTCACGGTTAAACCACATCAACATTTTATATTGATTTGTTTTATAGGGATAATAAGACAAAAGGTAATAGTAATATAAAATGTTGACATAGCTTAACTGTGACCGCACAAATATAAGAGAATATGAGTGTATGGGAACTGGAATGGCAGAGAAACCAGGTCCTAAGCATATGTGCCTTGGTGGCTAATGTGAATTTCTCGTTCACAACGGCGGTTCGCCACATGTACTCCACCCCTGCAGGCTACTAGCTATAAATTCACTAGACTAGACCTCTGCCCTTTCAACGGACACAAATAAAAAAACATAAAACAAATTACAGAGAGAGGGGTAGGGTTGGGCGAGAGAGAGAGATACAAAGGGAGTGACAGAATGGAACGTATGGGTGGTGGTCTTCCTCGCAGGCATGCAAATTCACCAAACCCTGGTAAAAATCTCTCTACTTGGATTTTCTCTTTTATTTATTTATTTGTTTATTAATGTTTTTCTTCTTGATGATTTTATATATACACCTATCTATATGTGTATATAAATACAAGAGTGGTTTTCAGAAAATTTTAAATTAATTTTAAATTATTTATGAATTTTTATTCAATGCATGTCCATTTCTCTTCAGACTTTAGAGAAGGAAATTTATTTTCTTCCTTTATCCTTTTTTTTCCCAAAAATATATTGTTCGAAGGCGGATCTCAAGGATTTTGCATATGATTCTGCATCTGGCGGTGTTTTGCATGTGATTTTGTGTTTATCTCAGCTCCTTATGTGCTGATATCACATATATATACCTCTGATCTCTTTAGAGTTTGCATTGTTTTGACAAGATTTTGAGCCAGAATTATTCCGAACGATTTTTCTCGCTCGATAATATTAGGATTTTGGGCCATCTTTTTAACATTATTTTGCTCTATCTAGCTAGTTTTCTTGTTTTTTGGTTATAGGTTAAGCTAGCTAGTTTCAGTGTAACGCTTGCTAAAAAATATGGTTAGTTTTATGTAGCCTCTTATGGATATAAGGTTCAAGTTAGGCTATTTTGTGATCTGTAATTTCTAAGTCACATATATCTCTACTGGCCTTAAATGTATATGCATGATTTTAATTCGTTTCTAATTAATATGAAAAAAGTTCCATGGTCTGCCTTTAGTATTCATCTTTACAAACCCTTAGCAGGTTCTTCCTTGAGGAATTGATAGGGTTTTGAGCTGGGAAACGAGTTTGGAATAGTGGTAATGGGGATTAAGTAGGACACAGAACGGTTTGGGCACATTGAAAAATCTTTTTAGAATGGACGCCGTTTAGAGTGTGGGACCCAATTTTCCGGTTCTTAAAAGGAGTCGTTTCATAGACACGGTGGCACGTGGACATGCAGCGCGTGAGGTGTCAGTTTATAGTTTTGGGCTTAGGTGGACTAGCAAACAGACAAAAACAGAGTGACAAGGAGGAATCTTTTCTCTTGATAAGACTTGGACCCTTTTCCCTGTTATCTTGACCGCAGACCGTCGCTGGATGACATAACCACGGGCATGTGAGCTCGTGAACTGTTACGTGACCCTGAATAATATAACCATATATAAACCATGCCTTCCATACCCCATTAATTTTCAATTAATATTAGTCATTTGTGCGCATATCTGTACAGTGATTAATTGGTTGACTTACATTCATTGTTATTTTCCCGCCTTGCACACAGCAAAATCCAACAACTCTGGCGACGGCAATGCCGTCGGAAACACCAGCAACCCTGCCAATGCCACCGGCAGTACTGGAAACAACACTGCACAGAGTACCCATCGGCGAGTTGTTCGTGTGCAGGATCAATACATGCCGACAGCCAACGTGGTACGCATAATGCGTCGCGTGCTCCCTCCGCATGCAAAAATAACAGAAGCCGCAAAGGAGACCGTGCAGGAATGTGTGTCTGAGTACATCGCCTTCATAACTGCTGAAGCCAACCAGCGTAGCCAGCGCGAGCAGCGCAAGACCGTCTCTGCCGAGGACATCATCTGGGCCATGAGCAAGCTTGGCTTCGAGAACTACGCCGACCCCCTCAACGTTTTCCTCCATCGCTACCGGGAGTCTGAGAATTCAGACCGCTCTCAGTTTATGATCAGGGAGCATCCGCTAATGGACTATGGCCCTGCTGTGCCTTCTGGACCTGCTGGACCCCAGGTTGCGATGATGCCTCCCCCACTGCTACCGCCTTTTGTGCAGGAGTTTCCTCTAGGTTTCGACCAGCATGGCCCTCCGATGCTTGACCCTTCGATGATTGAGATGTTTTTGGATGGTGGTTCCTCCACTGGTGCTGGTGAAGGCGGGTCATCGTCGTCTTTTGGGGCTGAGGACCAGAACTGGCTGGGGGGATTTGATCCGTCGGCTCAGTCTAAGTGATCAGCCCATGTAGAGAAAGGTCTTTGGTTAATTATCAGAAACAATAAATAAGTAATAGAAAACTAGATTTTAATCCCTAAATAAAATGAAATTTAGAAAAATGTCTTATACAAGATTAAAAATTGATTTTAGTCCCTAGACTCTATTTAATGCTAACATATGTATTCAATGTCTCTTTTTTTATTTATAATTTTATGAGTTTAAATTTTATGAAAATATTGTAAATTTTAATTCTCATTATGGTAAGCATCTTATATAAGAAAATATTTTCGTAGAGATTTTTCGGTACACTTATGTTTTTGCATATTTTCTTATCTGCCAATAATTCATTACAATATTTAGGTACGAACATTTCGGTACACTGGGTTAGTATAATATGGTTAGGTACAGACATTTCAGTACACTAGTTTAGTATAATATATTTAGGTACCGACATTTCAGTACACTAGTTTAGTATCATATAGTTAGGTATGGAATTTTCAGTACACTTATGTTTTTACATATTTTCTTATGTGTCACTAATTCACTACAATATATTTAGGTACGGGCATTTCGGTACATTAATTTAGTAAAATATATTATGATACAGATGTTTAGGTACACTAATTAGAGAAAGTTAAATAAAATTAATGAACTAAAATGTGTATAATAATAAATTTAAAATTAAATGTAATAACATTAAATAAGTTATTTATCAAATATAAAAACAAAAATATAATATGAATTTGAATTAAGTACACATTAAGAGACTAAAATTGATATTCAATCTAACACCAGGTTTTTATTAAATTTTAATCTTTTTGAAGGATTAAAGTTCAAAACCCTCAATAAGTAATTGCAAGTTTGCAATTAGTAAGTACTAAGTAGTTGTATTAAAATAAAATAAAATAAAAAAGGACTATGTTTCTTTAGAAGAATTCCAATTTAGGGCTGCCCTTCAAGCTATAATTATTAGAAAGTAAAAGTGCTTTATGGCATGATAACTGGGACCCTTTTGGTCCATTGTCTTTGTGTGTAGTTACCAGACTATCTCGAGCTCTAGGTCAAGGAAAGACGCGGGCTTGGCTAAGTGCTATTAGCGTTGGTTCAAATGGGTATGTGCCTCATTTAAGATTGGTTCGATGGGTTCCTACCTCTAATGGACTTTTTCCCGCTGCTTCTGTTTGGGATTTTTTTTTGCGAGTTCATGAGCCTAAACTGCCTTGGAATTCATTTGTTTTGCGGTTAGCCATCAAGGGCAAGTTATCGACTCGTTAAAATTGCTGCATATCGGCATCTTGTAGTTGTCTCTTGTCCGCTTTGTCATCCCCCACCCCCCATTGTCAAGCACCTTTGTCTTGCTACCTCTGTCTACTATATTTGGAAGGAAAGGAACTTTAGGATTTTCAGAAATGTCTCTTGCCCCCTACTGTTACACTCAAGTTGATAGATAAATGTGCTAAATTAGCTAAGGGATATCATCTGCGAAAAGCAAACACTAAGGGATATCATCTGCGAAAAGCAAACACTAAGGGATATCATCTTGAATATGTCCTATTAACTCGTCCATTACCAATCCAAAAAGGAAAGGACTTAAAGCTGAGCCTTGGTGTAACCTTATGGTTATTGTTGGAACCAAGTTCACACACATCTGTGAACGGAGGCAAGAACCCAGTCGGACTAGCCCATGATCTCCGATTAAGGGAGAATATGGTTGATTGGGGTGTAATTGAATCCAGAAAGGATTGCCTACATATCTTCAGAAAGGAGAATCAAACCACAAGTGTAGTTCTATGAAAGAATGACGTGGGCCTTCCTTGAGGAATAGCTTATGGCAGGGCATTGGGAGATGAGTTTTTCATGGATGCGTTGGTAGATGGCGGCGTGAGGGCCTCTGTTAGTCATAGAGAGAATAAGTGTGTTGTGGTTTTGTAGGGAAATATGTGAATATAGGTGGATATATATGGTAGTCTTGTAGAGAATAAAGTGGTCATCCTAGAGAGAGATCGAAGTCTGTCCTACTTTGAGAGAATTAGATGTCCCCCTAATAATACCCAAGCTAGTGTATTTATAGGGATCTTAAGAGTTCTTGTAGGGAAAGTAATCTTCATCAAATCAGGAGACTATCTAGGAGGAAATATATGATAAGATACCCAATCTTCCTAGAATCGTGATTATATTGCCTAATCCCTAAGATATCTTAAAATTTTGACTTTAACTAGGGTTTCCTTTACTTAGGAGACAAGTAATATCTTTAATAGGCCTAAACCTATCCTACCGGACTACGCTTTATGAGTTTTGGGCATTCCGATCATTCTTTCCATGTGTCATGGGTCCAGAAAATCATGGTCCCACAATTATGGGAAAGCTTTCAGTTTGTTCTTCATGAGTTCTTACTGCAGTCCTTGCTCTAGAATACATATTTATTATTGTTTGGATATATGCTACTCATACTCCTTTCCTCTCTAGAATCCTCCAAATAATTTTTCTTGAGATCCTATCATATGCTTTTTCCAAATTTATAAAGATCATGTGCAAATCTTTTTTTATGTCTCTGTATCGTTCCATCGACCTTCGTAAGAAATAAATAGTCTCCATTGTTGAGCGTCTTGACATGAACCCGAATTTATTCTCTTAACCCACGTCTCTTGCCTCAGTCTATGCTCAATTACTTTCTCCCAATCTATGCTTAATCATTAGATCATTTACAACTTGTCATTAACCACCAACTATCAAAAATGATTTATCCAAATATAGAATATAAAGATGGAGGAGGATTCTCTCCCTTTCCATCCCCTCCTACTTAAACGGTTACGATTAGAACACGTCAATGTCTTAATGTATTATATTGATTTTTTATAAAGACAATAAGACAAAAAGCAAAGCGTGAGAGGAAGTGAATGAAAGGGATGAGAGTAGGAGGGGAAATAATTCTACTCCTATAAAGATTGCTCATGTTAAGACAAGCCTAAGTTCAATATGTCACAATCTTAAATATGGGACATTCGTAAACAAAGATAAAATAATTTCCACAACGCATAATGGAAATAATGAATATGGAATTGCCCAATTTTATAAGAGAATTGCTATTGGTACTCAAAAAAATCTCATTTTGCTCTTCAAACTTTTAATAATTAGAAAGAAAAATGTACTTGTAAGGAGTGTAGAATGAATTTTTAGAATGTTAAAAGCAGTTCCCTTTTATAAAAGACATAAATGTTTTACCTTATATAGTGATTTTGCAAGTGTCCTGGCAAGTGAATATCCTATTTTTAGCTGGTCATTTAGCTAGTTTGTTAGATTTTAATTTTAATTTTAATTATTTTTTTGGTTCAAGTAATACAAAGGTAGGGGTTGGAAATGCTCAAAAGCTCGTTGTGACTTTTAGTTTTAGGCCCTTGGTAATAAAAACCAAAGATTTTCATGGGCGACTGACAGACCAACTGGTTACTCCCGGTAGAAACATCACCTTTATCCAATCATAGTTCCAGATGTGTGTTATGACCGATTTCTCGTTTACAACACCGGTTCATCACTTGGACTTCACCCCTGGTTTCTGTAGCTAGGAAAGGGATCCTGTTCAGATCTCTTCCACCAAATCCTCTTTATCAACTAATCTAGGCATTTAAAATTTGATCCAACCACTAAAAGCAAGGGTCAACTTTAGAATTTATAATAATTTTAATCGTTGGATTAAATTTTAAAAGTCCGAATAAAAGTCCGAATTGATTGATGGAAATGACTTGGTGGAAAGGATCCAAAGAGGATCCCTTTCCCTGTAGCTATAAATTCACTTGACTAGACACAAAGAGAGACACACACATAGAGACACATATACCAAAAGCAGTGACAGAAATGGAACGTGAGGGTGGTGGCCCTGGTGGGCTTCCTCCCAGGCATGCAAAATCATCAAACCCTGGTAAAAATCTCTCTAAGCAAATGGCATCTGGGTTATCTCTTTTTATTTCTTCATATATTTCTCTTATTATTACTTGTTTTAATTTCTTCTTGATAATTTTATATGAGTGTACATATGTATGTGTATGCATATATAAAATAAGAGTTGGTTTTCTGATTTTTTTTCTCGTTTTTTTATTTGTTTATGGAATTTTATTCCATGCATGTCGATTTCTTCTCAAATTTTAGAGACCCAAATTTATTCTCTTCCCCATCTCCCTTCCCCCCACCCACCCCAAAAAAAAAAAATAGTTTGTTCCAAGGCAGATCCCAAAGAATTTGCATTCGATCCTGCATTTGATGGTCTTTTCACTAGTAAAAAAAACACTTTGCGCGACGCAGGTCCTTCGTCGCGCAAAGTCAAAAAACGTCGCGCAAAACTTTGCCCAACGCACCTTCGTCGCGCGCAAACCGTCGCGGCAAGGCAGTGACAGAAGGCTTTGCGCGACGCATGTAACCCTTCGTCGCGCAAAGTAGTTTTGCGCGACGCAGTCTACGTCGCGCAAAGTGTATTTGCGCGACGCCGCCTACGTCGCGCAAAGTGTATTTGCGCAACGAACCCTTTGTCGCGCACAAAGTAATTTTGCGTGACGTATGCTACGTCGCGCAAAACTACTTTGAGCGACGTAGCCTACGTCACGCAAAGTGTCTTTGAGCGACGCATGTAACCCTTCGTTGTGCAAAGTCATTTTGCGCAACACAACCTACGTTGCACAAGAGACCCCTTTTTTTGTTTTGGTCAAAAAAATTTTTTTTTAATTTTTAATAATATTGTAATTAAATTCTAAACAATAATTAATTAACCAAAGAAAATTAATTAATTATAAAATATATGAAAATGTACATACAAAATGTCTGAACAAAAAAAGAAAAAACTACAAGTAGTCTTCTAAGTGGAGTGGCTACTGAGTATCGATATGGTGAAATGGCTCGAAGGTCGAAGGTGTAGCAAGATCAGGTACTAATAGCAAGATTTGGAGGCCGAACATCTGTATGGCTCGTACAAGATCTCTCACATGCCCGACATAGGCCTTCATCTCCTCGCCATGGACCGCAAGCTGACGCCTTAGGGTTGTCACTTCCTCCTTCAAAGGAACAGGTCTTATAATGAGGCAAAACCAAATTGTATAATAGACTGAAATGAAACTGTAGCAGGAGCAACACCATTGTATGTTAGCAAATAGAAACATGAATAGCAACATACTTCAGTGTAAAAAAAGGAGAAAAGAATTGAGGATCAGATAAGTTTGAGCGGTTACTATACTTTGCATATTTTAGCATGAATAAACCAGTATTGTTAATCAAGATAATCAACAAAAAAGGCAAACCTCAAAGGATTGTCTTCTCCAATTCTGCCTCTAACATTATCCTTACTCTCTCCATGCCTAGTAAGTAATATTGGGCGGGGCGTGAGGTGTGTATTCACCTACAACAGTGTACCAGAAATTTATGAATACGTGACCCAAGTATGAAGAGACAAAACGACCAAAAAGGAGCCAAAAGAGCGCAAAAGAGATAGCGGGGGTGGGGAGGGCGTTTGAGGCTTAGGGATAATCAACTTATCTCAGTTTTTTATGTCGAGATTCCATTGTAAGATTTTGGTATGGTAATTACAAGTGCAATTTAAAAGAGGAACCTTTTACTAAGATGGTTAACTGTAATTTCATCAAGTGCAGATATAGATATATTCACCAAACAAGACATGTAATTAAAACTAGACGAAAAAGACTAACAATGAACACAAATGCATGAATTCAAACCATTTAGAAACGAACTATAACTCAAGGTTCTGTGAGAACACTAGCTTACTTATTTAACTCGAACTATAACCATTTCATACTCCCACTAACTCAGCATATCAAAGCTCGAAATTAATTCCATAAATAATGAACCAATATCAATGTCTTGACCTTTTCCCTGACCAATCTGTGCTTAATATGCATGTGCTTGGTTCCTGAAGACCTCTTGTTCTTAGAATAGAAAACTATAGCAGTATTGTCACAAAGAATCTGTAAGGGCCTTCTAATGATATCTAGAACCATCATTCCTTCTATAAATTTTCCTATCCATACAGTGCAGATATCATTGTACTATGCTCACGATTTTACAACTATTAACACAATCTTCTCGAAGCAATGATAACCCACACATAATCAACCTAACATAATCCAGGACAGAAATTATAAATACAAACCAAATTCCTCTGTATCCATCATGACAGCTATTTCAGTTAGCTTTTGGATCTCAAGAAAATGAAAACCAGATATTACTCTACTTATGAGAAATATCAGTGTCTCAGGCCAGATGATGATGCTGTAACAACTCTAAGTAGTTTTCAATGCTTTGATATCTACAAGTTTTGTTAATAGTAAGCACATTAGGTGAAAATGAAAATGAAAACAAGGAAAATGAAAACTTTCCTTGTTGCAAATCACTTTACGCAACATGTCACCCGTTGGCAACATTTTTTCATGCTATGACCAAGATTGGACTTCAAGTTAGCGAGTCTTAAACCAGTCCGAACCTGAACTAAACCTTTAGGAACAACCTATCAGGAAAACTAATAATTTGAACAAGCTTTAGAATCAGTTCTGCTTCAGGCTACACGATTATATCACATATTGTCCGGTGGTAGTACATTTAAGAAAGTCAACTAAGCAAATAACAGCCTGTAGCTAAACGTTTCATATCTTTGTTTCATATCTTTGATCAGTGACCCCTATGCAAGCTCATTGATAGCATTTAAAAATGATCCAGTCAAGAAAAGTATACAAATTAGCTAATGATTTTGTAGATACCTGTGCAGCGTTGTTAAATTCAGGTAAAGGATTCCCATTATTATATGTTGCTTTGACAAGTTCATCGAACATGTAGCCATATTGTACGTCACTCTTCTCCAGTTGTTTGTTCAGACCTTCCACATAGTTTCGATGATGGCCTCCCCTCCCCAATGAACTTCCAATGTTCTCTGACTCATATACGGCTCCAAAGCATCCTGAAAACAGAAACATTACATTTCAGTCAAGGAAGATCATATGCATATTGCAAGCATAATATAATTACATGTATGTATCATCACGTGACAAGAATAAAGCAGCTCGAAACAGAATAGTAATCTCTACACAATAAGATTTACAACACGAGATGGATAACTTCATAGAATCAAATGCTACACCACACGAACTTCAGAAACCAAACAATCAAATTACTAAAGTATCTTGCAAATCCAATCAGGTAATAAGAAACCGCAAAACTTCTCTTGGTGAACCTAATGTGACAATAGAAGCTGACTTGGCCAACTCGATTTCATGTCCTTAAAATTGGTTAAAGGAGAAAAACTAGTTTACTTACAAGAATATAAGGAGGTTTCTCTTCAATCCATAGTAAGCACAAACTAACCCCAACTTTTGGCCTTGAACGGCTACAATGATTCCAGTCTCTTAAACTGTAACAACAACTATTAACATACATAGAGAGTAATTCTTAAACCTTGAAATTCAGCCCATTTCCTAATAATTTATCCCAAATAAAAACCTGATTCAATCCCCATTTCAAAATTAAAACCCTAATTCCCATTCACAAATTTTTCAAACCCTGAAATCCATCCCATGCCCTACTAATTTATCCCAAATTAAAAAAACCTAAATTCTAAAATTCATCTCAATTCACAATCAAAATCCTTAATTTCAAAATTCCATAATTTGTAATTAGACTTACTTTCGAGAGAGATGAGCACGACGAAGGGGGTGGTGGCTGCCTGTCATTTAGAACGAAAGGGAGAGAGACAACCGATAGTGGGTTTGAGATTGGGGCAATTTGGGGTTCAAGATTTGGGGTTCGAGCGAAGAGGAGGAAGCCTACGGGAGAGAGGGTATGATGAGCGAAGAGGAGGAAGGCTACGGAAGAGAGAGACCGAGTGAGAGAGAGAGAGAAAGAGAGAGAGAGAGAGAGAGAGAGAGAGAGAGAGAGAGAGAGGGGGGGTCTGGGAAGAGGAGGAGGGCGAGCGAAGGGGTCTTGGAAGATTTTGTCCAAAATTATCAAAAATGGCGCTTATTTTTTACACTTGCGCCAAAATATTCAAAACTGGCGCGACGTAGGTATACAATTCGACGTCGCGCAAAGTGTTTTTGCGCGACGACAGCATAAAGGCGTCGTGCAAGGTATTTTTTATTTAAAAAAAATATTATAAAAATGACTGAAAATCTGACTTTACTCATTTTAAATTTAATTATTTTTACATAAAACTCATAATAATATATTTTTAACAAAAACCTGACTAATAAATTGGTAGCTACTTAATAAATATATACATATCATTCAATTTCTTAAGTATTATACGTAAAAAATAAATAAATTTAAATCTACTTGATAAATATATATACCATTGAACTTGATGCGATACCACATTGTACGTAACTAATTTAAATGATCTAACCGTCAAACTTGTTTGTATATGCTTCAAGATTGCATACACCAAAAATGGCAAAAAACAAACCTTCAGAGTGATAGTAACGGGACAAAACATTTCGACAGCTATAAACGAAAAAATCACGATTTAACGGTTATTTTAACTCCGATTTTGATGATTTTTTACAACTACACTCTTGGATCTTATATGAATACAAGGAACTAATTCGATCGTCAATTTAAAACATTTACACAAGTGAATACCACAAAATCTTATGTTATACTTGATGAAAGTATAAATAAAATATAAGTGTTAGGAAATCTATTGTTTTAATGGGATACGTATTGTACAAAACAAGTTTCAATGATCCAACCGTCAAACTTGTTTGTATATGCTTCAAGATCGCATACGCCAAAAATGAAAAAAACCAAACCTTCAGAGATCAAGTAACTGGACAAATCTTTTTGACGGTTATAAACGAAAAAATCACGATTTAACGGTTATTTTAACTCCAATTATGATGATTTTTTACAACTAAACTCTTGGATCCTACATGAATACAAGTAACTGATTCGATCGTCAATTTAAAACATTTACACAAGTGGATACCACAAAATCTTATGTTATACTTGATGAAAGTATAAATAAAATATAAGTGTTAGGGAATCTATTGTTTTAATGGGATACGCATTATATAAAACAAGTTTCAACGATCCAATCGTCAAACTTGTTTGTATATGCTTCAAGATCACATACGCTAAAAATGGAAAAAAAAAACCTTCAGATATCAAGTAACGGGACAAATCTTTTCGACGGTTATAAACAAAAAAATCACGATTTAACGGTTATTTTAACTCCGATTTTGATGATTTTTTACAACTACACTCTTGGATCCTATATGAATACAAGGAACTTATTCGATCGTCAATTTAAAACATTTACACAAGTGGATACCACAAAATTTTATATTATACTTGATGAAAGTATAAATAAAATATAAGTGTTAGGGAATCTATTATTTTAATGTGATACACATTATACAAAACAAGTTTCAACAATCCAACCGTCAAACTTGTTTGTATATGCTTCAAGATCGTATACGCCAAAAATGGCAAAAAACAAACCTTCAGAGATGAAGTAACGGGACAAATCTTTTCAACGGTTATAAACGAAAAAATTACGATTTAACGGTTATTTTAACTCCGATTTTGATGATTTTTTACAGCTACACTCCTGGATCTTATATGAATATAAGGAACTAGTTCGATCGTCAATTTAAAACATTTACACAAGTGGATACCACAAAATCTTATGTTATACTTGATGAAAGTATAAATAAAATATAAGTGTTAGAGAATCTATCGTTTTAATGGGATACACATTGTACGAAACTAGTTTCAACGATCCAACCGTCAAATTTGTTTGTATATGCCTTGAGATCACATACGCCAAAAATGGTAAAAAAAAAATCTTCAGAGATCAGGTAACGGGACAAAACTTTTCGACGGTTATAAACGAAAAAATCAAGATTTAACGGTTATTTTAACTCCAATGTTGATTATTTTTTATAGCTACACTCCTGGATCCTATATGAATACAAGGATCTGATTCGATCATCAATTTAAAACATTTACACAAGTGGATACCACAAAATCTTATGTTATACTTCATGAAAGTAAGAATAAAATATAAGTGTTAGGGAATCTATTGTTTTAATGGGATACACATGGTACAAAACTAGTTTCAACGATCCAACCTTCAAACTTGTTTGTATATGATTTGAGATCACATACGCCAAAAATGGCAAAAAACAAACCTTCAGAGATCAAGTAACGGGACAAAACTTTTCAACGGTTATAAAAGAAAAAATCACGAGTTAACGGTTATTTTAACTCCGATTTTGATGATTTTTTACAGCTACACTCTTGTATTTTATATGAATACAAGGAACTAATTCGATCATCAATTTAAAACATTTACACAAGTGGATACCACAAAAGAAAAAGGCAATGCAAGAACCCCAATAGAAAAGCAAAAGGAAAAAAAAAAACTTTGCGCAATGGAGGTACAACCGTCGCACAAAGGTTTTTTTTTTTTTTCTTCCTATGTTCCACAGTTTTAACTTCTTGTATATCTCTTCCACTCCTGCCTTAAAATTATTGTTTAAGGACCTATATGATGAGACCACGTATTCAAAATCGTAAAGGGTAGAGACTACACCTAAAATGATTACTAACCACGTAATAGAATAGTGGTTTGACAAAGCTATAAACTAGCTTTTTCTCTAAATCTCTAACATTCTAGTTTCCTCCTCCCAATTTAGTGAGAAATGAAATCATTTTTTAGCACACATCAATCTATCCCTAAATTGGATCAAGTTAACTGAGCAGCTTGTAGTTTCTTAGCTTTTGTTTCCCTAAACCTATCAAAATCCTTCATACTCCTAGTCATTCATTCTACTCATTCAATTGTTCAAAACCAAAACTCAACTTGTTAAAAATAAGCATTGACAAAGATAATTAAAGAAAAACATAAATACACAAAAATAAAAAAATCCGAACATAAATGTAATCAATAAATAGTTAATTAATTAATCAAATAAATACAATACTTGAAGGTGAAGATGGTGAAGGTTGAGAGAGATGGAGAGTCTGAAAGAGAGAGGTTGAGTGGTGAAGAAAAAGGCCATTGTGTGTGGTTATTTAAAAAAAAATAATCGTTGACTTTGCGCAACGCCACATACGTCGCGCAAAACAGCATTGCGCGACGTAGGTGCACCTGCGTCACGCAAAGTAGGGATGGGTTGGCGCCAAAATTTTGCACGACGCACAAAACGTCGCGCAAACAGCCTTTGCACGACGACACGTTGCGCGACGAAGGCTGGCGTCGCGCAAAACAGCTTTGCGCGACGCCAGCCTTCGTCGCGCAAAGTGTCGTCGTGCAAAGGCTGTTTGCGCGACGTTTTGTGTGTCGCGTCGCGCAAACATACTTTGCGCAACGAAAATTGCTGCGTCGCGCAAGTTTCCGTCGCGCAAACATGTTTTTGTACTAGTGTTTGCATGTAACTTTGTCTTTGTGTTTGTCTCAACTGCTTATGTGTTGATATCATAGATATATCTCAGTTCTCTTTAGGGTTTTCGTTGTTTTGTCAAGCTTTTAACACAATATTTTTTGTTGACGATTTTCCCTGCTTGTGTTAGTGTGTTCGATTTTTGGAGGAAGTCAAATGTTTTTCTTCCCTAAATAAAATTAAATTTCATGTTATTTTTTGGCATACTTTAATTTTTACATTATTTTTCTGTATAGCTATCTATTTTATTTATTATTTTTTGCTACAGCTCTTTGCTTTTTGGTCGAATTTTTGGGTATGGCAGCTAGCTAGTTTCAGTGTAACGCTTGCGCTCAAATATAAAATGTTGACGTGACTTAAACGTGATCATAAAAATAGGAGGGCATGAGGAGGGTATGGGATGGGGAGGGCAGACAATCCAAGTCCTTCTAGGCCTGCAGTTGGCCAGTTGCTCTGTGAT